TGGTTGGGCCATGTCATCGATCTAAAAACCTATACTCTTGACATAACTCCAGCTAGACGCGAAAAAGCTGTGACCCTAGCCACATATCTTTTGCGATGTAAAGGGGTTTCTTTGTATGAAAGATTAAAATGGCAAGGTCTCATAGCCTCCATGCATTTGATCATCCCTGCAGATCTCAAGAAGAGATGGAAAGCCGTGGTCGCAGTCATAGCGCATAAGCAAAGCCAAGGAACAGCACTTAGCTACAGGTGGTCCCTTGATGAAAAGGAAAGAGCGGAATTGAAAGGTTGGTTAGCCTTTAATTCGAACTTTTCCGGCATAACCATAAACTCTGCAATTCAAACGGATTTCTCTTTGACCATCTTTTGCGATGCTTCGGGTTCGGGAGTTGGATCAGTCCTTTACTTTGATCCATATAGGAAACTTACGTCCTTTTCGCCTATACCAGAACCATTGTTGGAAACCTCCAGTACTTTTCGTGAACTTCTAGCTATCTTGGAAGCCGCGAAGGCCTTTTCTCGTTATATTATCTTCGAAAAGGTTTTGTTCTACTGTGACAATCAGGCAGCGGTAACTGTTCTGAAAAAAGGCAGCGCAAAACCTGATTTGCAAGGTTTGGCAATACAGATCTGGGATCTTTTAGACCAGCTTCGCATTCGAACTGATTTTGCTTGGATCCCACGAACATTGAATTCTGAGGCAGATCAAGCTTCGCGCTTTATCGACTTAGATGACTGGTCCATCTCCAATAGCATTTTTGCTGAACTGCAAAACGCGTGGGGGACATGTACTTTAGACATGTTCGCAAGCGAATTTACAGCAAAATGTTCTCGCTTTGTTTCTAGATGGGTCTCACAGCAAACGCTGGCAGTGGACGCGTTCTCGATTGAAGCACGAAAGCTTTGGGGATCCGAATTTCTGTGGTGGGTTCCTCCACCTTATTTGATTGCAAGGTCAATCCTTGTCGCTAAACAATGTGGCACTACGGGCATTTTGGGTTTTCCCCTATGGGAATCCAATCTATTCTATCCTTTACTTCGCAAAGGTGATCAGTGGATACCAGAGATAAAAGATATGAAAATTTATCCTGCAGGTTTTCCGGTTCTCAATGGTTTTTCACATTCGCATACCTTTGGATGTCCGTACCTGCAATTTGATTTTGCTTTCGCATTAATAGACTTTCCTTCCCCTGCAGGCCTTTAATATTCCGAAATGTACATATTTTGAAATTCAAAACGGTAGTTT